GTTATCCGGGCACAATATCGCTTTGGGTTTTTGTGGGATTCTCATCGGCACGATCCTTCGCCGATACGCGAATCCGTTTGCGCTCGGCACAACATACATATATTACTACTATTACCGCGACAACGGGATAGGCCGACGGGTCATGGCGAACGCGCGAAGCAAACGAGAAAATCGATGACTTTTCATTGCTGATAATGTTCTTATCATTGCTTTACGACGGCAGTGGACCGGACTCGTTGCGATGTCTTTGGGAAATTCAGTCGGAAAAAAAATGTAAACCAATGCGTCTGGGGTTAGTCCCGACAAACCTTTCAAACGTTCCGATGAAACGGATTCGATGCGAATCCTTTGAAGGGTAGGTATATTAATTATGTTTGCTACGTCTTCGGCATTACTACGAAGTTACAAATTAATAAACCATGTAACGGGGTATTGAACATTTCGTGTCGCATGCTGCGACATAGGCATTTATCAAACAAACGATTTCTAAAAGTGAAGTTTTATAGATTACGAGTAAAACTCGTCTGAAAGTTAAATTTGTTTAGATCAAAGTTTCACTTTCAATTAAAACTCGACTGAAAAATACTTGTACATAATTAAAACTTGTAAAATATAATTTGTTTTTTCGTTGCCCTATACGTATTAATTAAATGATTTATTAACGCTGTAGGTTTTGTATGTATAATATAAAATATTGTTAGTTTGTTTGTAATTTTAGGAACAGCGAACGTAAACGAAACTAAAATAATTAAGTAATACTTTAGGAAAAAGGCAGAATGAATAACAATGTAAACTATTGTTTCGTTTTATCTAAAGTACGGGTGGATAAGTAAAAGCGAAAAAACAATATATACAGTCATTAGGTCATAATTTAGAAAATATATACGGGACAAGGTATACCGTATTAAAACTTTTGTAGGTTTAACGGAATTTTCAGTGTAACACGGTTATCTAGATCTTCGTGATTAAAATCGGATTACACTGAGTATACTGATCGCCATCTAAAATACATCTTTGTTCTCTAGTTAATGTGCTTGCAATATGATTAATTAAAAATCCTTTTTAGTTTTAAATTTTTAATTTAAATTTCAAGAAATTCTCTTCTTCAATTTTACTATGGTTTTTATTAGAAGCATTAGTTTTATTTTTGCTTCTAATTCGAGAACAAACAGATTAATAGTTTTTGATCCCTCCACTCCAATCACCCGTTTGGCCGGCACAATTTGTTGACTCTATGGAATTAATATCACGTAAATATGCTAAGTACCCAAAATTCTATTAAAAAATAAATAATTTTTTACCATTTCTACCATTTGCGTTGTGAATATTTTCCTGTTCTTTCTTATATAAATATTTATTGAATTTATTAATTATGAATAAAGAACTTTAATTTCGTATAATCCTTAATATCTTAATAATTTATCGCAGAGACAATGAATATAGTAATTAATTCATTATGTTAAATCACTATCTGTCATTTGACGTGAAAAAAATAAAAACAAAGGTTATTCTATTCCACGAACAAATTTATTATGAAATACCGATTTTTACATTGTTCTGTTGAATTGATCATTTAACTTGAATATTTTAATTCAAGCTATGGCCGTTCGTTTACATCTGCGATCGGATTTCAATTAGTTTTTTTTAAATAAAAAGTTAAAAACCCATATTTATATTAGATTTTTAAGCACGGTTTTAATTATTTGAAAATAAACCAACGTGTATTTACACGTACTTAATTGAAAACAATTAACTGATATATTCGATGTAGAGTATGTAACAGTGACTTACAAAATAACGTTTTTCATTGTAATTATTCATATGCAATTCAAATGACAATGTTAAGATTGAAACTGCTTTTTTTTTTAAGATTTTTATGAATCATACGAAACATTGTAAATTGGTTTTAAAACAAATTAGATCTAATACGTCCTGTACCATGTTAAAATGTACAGTTCATAATGAAACATAATGATAAATACTGTAGAATCTGATTTACTATGAAATTAACTGTGCAATGAAGTATTAATATTACCAGATAAATATTTTAAGTGCACATTTATAATAGTTTTAATGTATAAAATTAGTAATACAGAAAAAAAGAAAAGAAATTAAACAAGTTAATTAATTGTAACAAAATAAATTTAAAATGATTATTTTATTTTCATTAAATAAATCGAATTAAAGATAAGTCACTTATTTTCTACGAGTAAAAATAAAATGTCTAGATCATAAAAAAAAAGAAAAAAATTAGCAAAGTATAAAATACATACGTTATTATTACATCTCACTAATAGATTATTTTTTCTTATTTCATCATATCTAACCTACCAAACATGTTTTAATAGCAATGTAATTCAGTATTATTTTTTTAATAACCTTTGAGTTCACTTTTATATGTATCATTAAGATAAAATATTCGCTTGCTAATTTGTTTTTTTTTCGAATAGAAAAAAAAAAATTAATTTGAAAATACCCATTGATTACAATAAAATAATATATATTATATAATTTATTATATGATCAATCAACAGACGTGTTTATTCAACCACTATTTTCTGATCAATTTTTCTTTTGCTAAAACATTGTCATTGGGCTAGTATTTACTTTTATGATTAATGTAATGCGATCAAGTTTGGAAACAAATACGTAGATGGCATAAAGGTAGAAAATAAACATTCCGTTATTTAACCTCCGGGAAATGTATTCATTTGCAACGGACAGCATTTTATTCGAATATAAACTCTGGCGAAGACTTTTATTAAAAAGATCAAGATATTCTGCGGTGCCTGTAGGTACCTATAAAATATATAGTTCTTATATTGATAACCAATTTTGTACTGTCATATTTACGCGGAATGATACAATGTAAGTTGTGTTCGCATAAAAATAATATTTAAACATTTCGACTATCGTAGATATCACTCGATATCGTTTTTCTTATTGAATTTAATTCGGTACACGACGTCTAAGTAAATTTATTCAGAAATTCATTTTAGGTATCGTGATATCCGTGTTACAAATATCAATCCAATGCTGAAGTTGCTCAAATACAATAGAAATTTAGTTTTCGAGTAATTTCAAAATAACAAAGAATTTCGTAGAAAATAAAAGAAATCAAATAAAAAAAACGACGGGATAATAATTTCAGGTGTACACGAATAAACGATTGAAAAATCCGCGATTTTCCGAAACAGCCGGAACGCGAATTATTCTCCTCGGTGTTCTTTGCGTATTCGGTTTCAAATTAATCGTTTCGTGAAAGTTTCTTTTGGTTCCTGTTACGGGAACACACCATTTGATAGTCGAAAAACAATAACGAAATATTATCCGGTCAACTTTGTCACCGCATCACCGCTGGACGAACCGCGATGCACCTGTGCCAATGATTTGCCGGAGCAGCCGATGATTATTCACAAATATAATCTCGGTTTCGACTAGCGTTGCCCGTTTGCAGAGCAACAAGGTTAGTATCGGTTATTATCGGATTTAGGACGAAAGCGATCCGTTTCGCTCTCCGGTACGGTTTAACATAATACTATTACGTGTGCATAATACACGGGTAACTAGTAAACGCTGTACGTATTATTTTCGGGGAGTCGCGACCAAGGGGAAAAAATCATTACGCGCCGGGCTCGTGATTATAATATCACAACATAATATATTATATAAACCGTCAACATGGGGCGCGCACGACTTTGCGGATAACGTGCACAATTATGAAAGGGGTTGAAAAAAATAAAAATAAAAAATCGAAACGTGCGTGTGTATGACGTGTGGCGCCAAACGGCTGAAAAGGCCGTGTGTGGTACTCTTACTCCTACCACTACTATTTACTACCATTACTATTACTACTATTGCTACTACTACTAGTAGTGTTGCCGGTACTTGTGTGTTATACGACATACACAACTGTAAATCGTAGTTGTATTTCCTGCAACGACGTTCGTTACCGCTGTTAAGCGGCGTATTTGGGATAATATTTCAGGGAGAGGGAGGGGAAAAAATCTGTAAATTTGATTTCGATATTTAACGTCGAAACTTTCACTGCGCTGAAAAGGTAAAATATTGTAATCGAACTCAACTACAACGGGATCGGCTGTAAACCAAAAAGTATCGTGAAAAAAAACCGTTAGCGCGGAATTTTGATTATCGATTGTGACAACAGATAATAGATTTTTTTTTATCGCCTGCGATCGTAACGCGGAACGCTGATAACGTTGTTGGAAACGGGGTTTGTAATTAAAAAAAAAAAAAAATGGTTACCGTATTCGGTGGGAACGCGGAGACGAAATCGAACTTGTAATCACAGATTTGGCGAAAAAATGGAAAAAAAGTCATCGGGGGGTGCTTATTGCCCTGTTGCCCGTCCCCCTCAAATAGGCCGCTATTACCGTACGCGGCACTAATTGCAATAATATCGCGACGGTGTACTACCGGTGAAACTAAAACAATTTCGATAGCGATGGAACGCACCGACGCGTAGGAGCGATGCGCGCCTTTGTGGCACGTGGTCGCGGCGGGCCGGCGGCGGGAAAATCGGCCGCGGTTAGAACGACCGTTTAAAATTTGAAATCGCGTTCGGCGCGGCCACCGATCGCGTTTCGTCGATCGCAGCATCACCGTAGATTTACCGTTTTCACGATTTTATCCGGCACAGCGACCGTTCGTTTTGCCGACTGAAGCGAGTTCCTATCGTGCACGACACGTCCGCGTCCCACTCGCATGCGTGTACGGCACAAACAAATTCATACTCGCCCCGAGTCGTCAGTGCCCCCCTCCCACACACACACACACACACACCACGAAAACCCTTTGGCTTATTGTCGTGTTATTCGGCAACGCCCGATGTCACGCTCCACGTAATCAATCTCCCCCGTAGGCGACGTCTACACGCGGACGCCAAAAGATAAAAAAAAAAAAAAAAAAAACCCACGACCACTACAGATACTACTACTAATTTTACCACCGAATTTTTTAGGATGGGTGTGCATACTCACAGAACTTGTTCTTCTCGGCGAGCGCGCCTTGGGCCAGCAGTAGCGTGAGCGCGACCGCTAACAGCGCGCCGGCCATCGTCAGCGGTGGCCCGGGTCCGCGGCCGGGTGGCCGCATGACCGGGCGGCGGCGAGCGCTCGTATACACCGGACGCTGACCGGACGGACGGGCCGAGCGCACCTGAGCCTGACGGTGTGTCAGAGGACGAGCGCTCCTCGGACGATCGACTCGGGGCGCCGGAGTCGACTGCCGGACGGACGGTCGGCTCGTCCGCGACGGTGTGCGCG